GATTTATCAACAATCACTTCCATATCCTTTTGAGTTTAAAATTTTTCACATTAGTGATGTAAGTAAGAATTAGAACCAATAGGAGGAACCACCAGTGAGAGGAAACAAAACTCAACAGAAGAAAAAAAAATAGCAAATAGTATGCTTCGATCTGCATTCAATTTCCATAGTTCTTTCTTTGGATGTGGATAGCATTTTTCATCAGGAGGCCTTTGGAGATGTCTTAGATCCTTGGATTGCTGGGAAGGGTTAAGTTTATCAATATTAGTCATCGCACAGCGTGGCTGTTATTGTGTACAACGTTCTCCTGGTTCTGCTCACTTCACTCAGCATCAGACCATACAAGTCTTTCCAGGTTTCTCTGAAGTCAGCCTGTTCATCATTCCTTATAGGACAATGGTATTCCATTACATTCATGTACCACAACTTGCTCAGCCATTCCCTAATTGATGGGTATCCTCTCAATTTCCAATTCTTTGCCACCACAAAAAGAGCTGCTATAAATATTTTTGTACACGTGGGTCCCCTTCCCATTTGTATGATCTGTTTGGGATACAGCCCTAGAAGTGCTATTGCTGGGTCAAAGGGAGGAACTTGATTTCTTCATCTGAGAAATGAAGAGATTGAGCTGGCCCAGAGAAGTTAACAGCCACAGAGCTGGGATGAGAATCCAGGTCCCCTGGCTCAAAATCCATGGTCCTTTCTTCTTCATGTCACCTCCCCCACTGGGCCATCTCCAGTTGTCCTGATGGATATCTGACCATTGGACCCAGATGGTTCTGGAGGTGAAAGTGAGGCTGGTGACTTTGCACATCACCTCGCTCACTTAAATCCGATTCACTTGCATGCCATAACATCACCTTCCTGATGTCATGGTCCTCTTTGAGAATGAAGGAGAAACAGCAGCAGCACCTCTCCCAAGCAGGTGTTATTTTTATGTCCCTAGATCATGGGATCAAATATACTCAATAGATCTCTGTGGTGATGAAAGTAAGAGCTGAACTTTAAATAACATTTCGGAGTTCACAAGGGGCTTTTCTTACATTATGTCTTTGTTGCCTCACAAGAACCCTACAAGCTGGGGGCAACGGGTATTATTATTCCCATTTTTTACATGAGGAAATTTGCAGCCTAGAGATATTAACTGACTGTCCAAGGTCTCTGATGTGAGCCCTGACTCCAAGTCCAGCACTCCATCCACTAGGCAAAAATACTTCCTCTGAAGGAAATCTTAGAGGCTGCCTTAGGCAGCCTAATCTTGATCACAGCACTTGGTCCAAGCCAAATTCCTCTGACCTCCTCATGAGGTACCTTGGAGAGTCTCAACAAGGTTCAAGAAGGAAAAGGTCGTACCTTTGGTCAGATCTGTTGGCAAGATCCAGATTGAATGTGTTGTGGAAACAGAGCAGAGGAGCATGTAAGCAACAAAAGCCACTTTAGGAAGGGCATGGGGAATTTCTGAATGGTACTCATAGCCAATGACCAGTATGAGCTCTGCTTTTTCAGCCCAGCACACTAGAGAATTCCATCTGTTAGTCTGACTGGCCAGCTCCTCTAGTGCAGACACAGCCAAGACGACATGTTGGGGTTCAGAAGGGATTCTCTGGCATGTAGCGGGCACTATTCTTGCTGTCCACCAACTAGACTTGAAGCACTTAATGATATCCTGAGACAAGAGGAAGGCACAGGTCATACCCAATATACCCAAAGCAACCGCTGAAAGTGAGCACACAGCATCTTCTCCCCAGCTTTCTCAAATTTCCACTCAAGCTAGCCAACCCACCCACCACCAAAAAGGAGCTAGCCTAGATACTGGTCTGCTTCAACTTCCTTTGATCCATGGCTTATGGCTAGCTTTTGAGTAGGAGACAGACCTTTATCAGGGCCATTGACAAGAACTTCTGCTTCCTTACCCTACCTTCCAGATTTTCAGGATTCTGAAAACCGTGGCCCTCTTTCCAGAGCCCTGCCACTTTCACTATCCCCGTCCAACTCTGGTCCGTCATCTTTGATAGTTTGCTGTTTGTGAGGAGAAACCTCAAAATGGTTCTGATGTACATTTCTCTTTGTGTTAGTAACCTGGAGCAGCCTTTTATAAGGCACTTGGAAAAATAGCCGTCCATGGACTTGGACCCCTCATCTATTGGGGAGGGGCTTTTGGTCTTACATATTTGTTTGCTCCTGCAAGAGCTCAGATATCAGCACCTGAGTGCTGATCAGTATCAATATCAATAACAAATATCAAATGTCAAATGATATTTCGTGCAAGACTCCCCCACCCATGCAACTGCTTTCCTTTTTAGCCTTGTTGTATTAATTTTGTTTGCACAAAACTTTCCAATTTTCAAGCATCATGATTATCTACTTCATTTTTGTATTTCTTATTTGGTTAATAATTCATACCCCCTATGCATAGATATGAAAGGCATCTGATCTGGTATTCATTCTTTCTTCTTCAGTTTGATTTTTCATGTTTAGGTCACAGATTGATAATTGAGGTTTGTTTTGGTTTTTTTAATTTTTTTTGGTGGCATATGGTACAATATCGTAATCTCTGACCCTGCTACCACGCTGGTGCAGGCAAAAGCCTGATGGTTAGTCTGCCTTCCCCAAGTCACTCCTTACTCCAGTCCATTCCCCACTCAGCTGTCAAAATTATCTTTCTAAAGCATAGCTCTAGCTATGTCATCCCCTCTTCTCAATAAACTCCAGCAACTTCCTGTAACCTCCAGGACCAAATACAAAATCCTGTGCTTGGAATTCCAAACCCCTTTATAACATACGTCTTCATAATCTGCCTCCCCCACCTTTACAGATTTCTTACACCTAAACAGCCATCAAGGTGGCTGGAGCAGGTGCTGTGGAGTGCTTAGGGCTTGGTAAGGAATGGAAGATGCCAAGGTCATCCACTGCATCCTAGGTCATCTCTAGTTGTTTTGACTTTTCTTCTGCCACTGGACTTTAATGGCTCAGGAAGAGAAAGTGAGGCTGATGATTTTGTGCACCTCTGCCTCCCTTAAATCCAATTTATGCACAAGTCAAGACATCACCATGATGTCACTGGTCCTCTTCAGGAAGGAAAGACAAACAACAATACCTTATGCCTTTGCTTCCCTCCCCCTTTTGGCCCAGGGTCAGACCCCTTTGGGAATTTAGTGGACAATCTACACACATCATTTTAGGAAGGACGTTGAAGCAAATAGCCAGGATGGTCAAAAGCCTGAAACGACTGGGGATGGTTAGCCTAGAAAAGAGAAGACTGAGGTTGGGGGCAGCACAGTATCTGGCACCTAGCAAGTGTTTAATACATGTGTTGGCTGATTGATTGACATGATAGCCGTCTTTCGAAGGGCTGCAACGTTAAAGAAGGATTTGGTACTTGTTAAAGTTGGGGTGAAGAAAGATTGGATTTGCTAGTCCTCCTCTTGTGCCTTATTGGGGCATGGGGTGAATCTGCACTTCTGGAGGTTCTGCCAGCAGAACGGAAATTCTGGAAGCTCCTAGGAAAGATGGGAGACTTCTAGTGTGGGCCTGAAGACAAGCTGTGTCTGAGAACCTGGCGAGTCAAGCATAAACGTGTTTATCACTCTAGAAGAGTAGCTATGAAGAGATGAGCCTTTGGCCATGGCAAACCAGTAATAGAATTGGTAAAAGGAAAAAAGCCCAGTTTTCAGTCCCGTGCAAGTCTTTCTTTTGGGGATGGGGGAGCAGGGAGGAGAGGAGCAAACAGTACTAAAAATGATAAACTCTTGGATTATCTCAATGACACAGTTCTTAAGACTACCAACCAAGATTAACTGAACTGTTAGTTATCTTCAAGTGTGATCTTAATCTACTGAGCAATGAATTGGCATGCTGTCAAAGGAAGTGAATCATATTTTATATACCAAATGACAGAATGCATGCAAAACCCTTGGCAGACCTTGACTTGCTATAGAGATATCAGCTGTTATCAGCATATCTGTATTGAGACATTCTTGCTATCAGGGAAGCCAGAAGGAATAAAGATATTGCAGCTAATTAGAGGATCACTGCCAGGCTCTTCTCAGACAAATAAAGAACTCGGCAGGATTGATTTCATTGTGTGTCCAAGGTAACAAAAAGCATCACTTCATGAGACACTTGGGCATGTCACTTCCGTGGTCGTGATGAGCAAATTTTAACTTGTGTCTGAGCCTCCCTTCTATGCCCTATTTACCCATTTTAAACCAAACAAACCTGGCATTTTCCCAAATAGTACCTAGATGCAAAGGGAAGGTGAGAATAGCTTGTTGCCTGCCTTACATTGTGCTAAACACCTAAAATTCAGCAGGAAATGATTAATGAGATTATTAAGATAGTCTTAGACCATAAAGAATTCCTTACTCCAATTTAAAACTAGTTCAATTAGCCAACGCAGTTAGGATGTTTAACGTTAAGCTTGGCCCTCAAACCAGGAAGCAGAGGGAGGATAAGTACTAGTAGGCCATCATTATTTTCCAAGAAGTTGTCAGATTTAATTCCAGGAAAAAAACGATAGTCATTTAATCTCAACAAAGTGAACATTTTACCAAAGGACTTGTAGCTCAAAGTTCTGCACTAACAACTAGAAAATATCACTGATTAGTGTTATTTAGAATGGAAATGTGGCCTAGTCTCTTAATGCTTTGATTTTCACTTGTCTCCTAGAACAATGAGGAGTAAGAGCAGAATGGAAAAGTGTGTCTTCTATGAAGTAAAGAGAGTTTATCCTCATGCTTATCCTCCAACATTTTAAGGAACTCTAGAGTGATAGCTTTAAAAAATCACTTGTTTGTGGCTCTGAAATTCACCAGCCCCCCCAAATAGGAAATAGCAAGCCAAGAAAGACAAAAAAATGGAGGCTGAAAAATGAAACAGGATATAATGTGATCACAAATGACAACAATAAGACAGTCAAAACCCCTGGGGATAGGTTTTTCAGTTTTATAAAAATTTCAGTTAAGGAACACAATATCTCACCAACATTTCTTTAAACTTAGATCGAAGTGATGCATGAAGCCAGCCAAGGTGGCTCCAGCAGAATATTGGTGATGAGTGAAAGTGAAGAGAACCTCTCCACCAGGAGGAGGTAAGCCAAAAGGATTCCTGGGAGGGAGCTGGGCTTTCTCTTGGTGAGGGAGGGCGGGGTAGGGACAGGTGGAAGATGGATGGGAATTCATCATAGCTCCCCTTTCTCTCCTGACCTTAACAGGGGAACAGCTTACAAGAGTGCGTCGTATTTAGGAAGCATTTGTTATGCTCAAAGTTATGGCGTTCTTATACACACAAATCCACCAAAACTACCATTTAAAAACTAGACATCTTAGTTCAAGAAGTATGATGAACCCAAAGTTCAGAATAGTTTATATTTAAACAAATTATAGGTTTGAATTATTTGTGGGTTATTCCTCCAGCTCTGAAAATGTGACTAAGAAATAGGTAAGGTGGATGGCATCTCGGCCCATGTACAATTCTCCAAGTGTGACAGTTATTGAGGAAGCACGCAATACTGGAAGAGCAAAACACTGGTCAAATGCATATGCATGCGTGTATATATATACACACACATATACATTGTACACATGTGTATATGTTTATGTACATGCACATATAACTACCCATATGTACATGTACACATATGTGTGTGCTACACAAATCATCCTTTTGGAGGGAACCTAATTTGTATTCATTTGTCATACCAGGAGTTCAGTACATCAACTCCAGTTGTTAGCTGTATTGACATTAAAATTTATTGATGTCTTTGGTTGTTCATCCTAATTTCCAAATACATTCCTTCTCACAAAAGTTATGCTTTGTGAACATTTTTAAAAGTGGAAAAAAGTAGATTTAGCAAAACTAATCAACAAATCAACCATGTCTTATAGTATATAAAATGATTACTCATAGTCCCCAACCTTTGCAAAAAAGGGGAAGGAGGTATATTTTCTCATCTCTTTCTTGGGGCCAAGGCCTAGTCATTATAATTACACAGTGGTCAGTTTCACTTTTTTCCTTTCCGTTTACATTGTTGTAGTTATTTATATATAGTGTTTTCCTGAGTCTTATTGTGGCTTCCTTGGCATCAGTTTCTTGCTTCTTCGTATTACTCCATTCATGTAACAGTTTGGCCTATCATTCTCCAATTGGTAGGCTTATTGACTTTTTTAAAAATATTATTACAATTTTTCTCAATGACACATAAAAACAATTTTTAACTTTTTAAAAAAGTTTTAAGTTTAAATTCCCTCCCTCTCCTACCGCTTCCTTGAGAAGGCAAGCATTTTGATAGCATACCTGTGTATTCGTGCAAAACATATTTCCATGTTAGCCATGTTGCAAAAGAAAGCTCAGACAAAAAAATAAAGTTTTAAAAGTATGCTTAGATCTGCATTCTCAGTTCTTTCTCTGGAGGTGGATATCATTTTTTAAAAATCATAAATCCCTCAGAATTGTCTTAGGTAATTATATTGCTGAAAATAGCTAAGTCATTCACAGCAGATCATCATACAATATTGCTGTTATTGTGTATAATTCTCTTGGTTCTGTTCACTTCACTTTACATCAGTTCATATAAGTCTTCCTAGGTTTCCTATTTACTTTTATTTAACAAGCATTTATAGCCACATTTGAGCAGAGCGTTCTATTTGCATTTAGTAGCTGGTTGTAGATTCAGCCCACATACAGGTCTCTGGTAGGTTGAGATGGCCACACCTACTGTCTTGAAAATATGTTCAGTATATATTTCTTATGACTAGGATTATCCCTGATAGGAACTATTTGGTAAAATGTTTTGCATCATTTCCTTCAGACAATTTGTTTTAAACTTTTTTCGAATTTTCTAAGATATATAAATGGATAGTTTTTCTAACATGAGGAGGTTAAGTAAAGAAGCAATTCTCCAAGTCCCTTAAGATGAAGAGGAAGTGCCAACCTGCACTGGTGGATGTCTGCTGACACCAGTGAAATCGTGGTCCAATTCCTAGCTCTCTGTCTCGGCAAAGATGCGGGATGGTGCAATGCAAAGAGGGGCAAGGACGATTTTTAGCAAGGTAACTTAAATTTGATGGGGTGGTTAAAAGGAAGAATTACAGTATTTAACTTTGGAAATTAAAGGAACTTTGAGAATTCTTGCTAAACTTGGATTCAGCAAGTGCCTGGGGTCTGGTGATCTTGGGCGTCCTTTAACCTTGCTGTTCCACAGCTTCCTCTTCTGCTCTGCCTGCTGACCTCTCTGGCTTTCCTTAAGTCCCAAGTAAAATCTCACCTTCTACAGGAAGCCTTCCACCCCCTCTCTTTCCACCACCTTACTTCTGTTAATTGTTTCCTCTTTCTCTCGTGTATAGTTTGTATTGTTTGCATGTCATCTCCCCTGTTAGGTTTAGGAGTTTAGGAATACCAAGAGGAAAGCTAGAGTCGTTAGGAAAGGATTAATTGAAGAAGTAGAATTGGAGTTGGCTCTGGAAAGTAGGACAGGTGAAGGATAGAGGGAGGACATTCCATGAAACGGAATCAACATGCGTGGGGCCTTACCTGCTTTCTGGCTACTGGGAAATCAGCCTATCCTGAGTGAAGTTCAAATAGGAAAGAAGTGGCAGATAAGACTGATAGGTAGGGTGGGGTCAAATTACTGGGACCCCTGAGCCCAGGCAGAAAAATTTGGACTTAGTGTGATAGAAAATAAGCTTATACTGAAGGGTTTTTAAGTGACAAGTAGCAAATTGAAAACTACTAAAATGAAACGTTTGTCAGGCAATTGTATACAAAAGGGATTAGAGGGAAGTGAGAGTATAGTCAGACCTGCTAGCTGGCTACTAAGAGGTGATCTAATTGCAACGAAATGGGAATATTTGTTCTACCTACCTCACAGAGTGGTGAAACAGTATCATGGGGTACTTGGATACTGAAGACACTATAGTAGACTTGAATATTGGGTCTGCCTGTTACTACACGTTTGACCTCTCTCTCTGGGCCTCAGTTTCTTTCTTTGCAAAATGAAGGGGTGGGAGTAGATGACCTCTAAGTTCTCTTCCAGTTGTAAATCCAAATCCATTTCTAGATATGTGATCTTAGAGGATACTATATTAATCAATAAATCAACAAATAGGTCAAAGAAAAAGAAAAAAGACCCGTAAGTACAAAAATGTTTATAGTAGCTTTTAAACTGAAGGGATGTCCATCAACTGGGGAACTGGCTGAAAGTGGTGGTATATGATTGTGCTATCAGAAATGATGGAGATGGTTTCAGAAAAAACTTGGGAAGACTTGTATGAACTGATGCAAAGTGAAGTGAGCAGAACCAGGACAATGTACACAGTAACAGCAATATTGTAATTGTAATGAACTATGGAAGACTTAGTCATTCTGATCAATACAGTGATCCACAACAGTTCTAAAGGACTCACGATGAAAAATGCTATCTACTTCAAGACAGAAAATTGATGGACAATGAGTACAGATAGAAGTGTATTTTTTCCCTCCTTTTTATTTTTCTAACTTTATTTTTCACAACATGACTATGTGGAAATGTCTTGCATAACTTCATATGTATAATGGGTATCGTATTTCATGCCTTCTCAATGGATGCGGGAAGAGTGGAGGGAAAGAAAATTTGGAACTGAAAATAAAAATTTTTTTTAAATGTCCAGTAGACAGTTGGCGATGCAGGACTGGAGCTCAGGAGAGACTAGAGCTGAATACCATAGATCTGGTAGTCATCTGCATAGATGATGATCCATGAGAACTGAAGTCATCAGGAGAATATAGAGACAAGGACCCCGGACAAAATCATCTACAGTTAGGGTGATGATTTTGGCCCTCAAGGCCTTATACCTGACAACTCCCTACCTTTTTAGCTTTATCTCATAGTGTTATTCTCCACTTGATTCAGCCAGACTGAATGACTCTCCTTCATCCATGTTCAGCACTTTCCGTAAACCTAGGACCCTTCTCTCCTCCCCGCTATCTTTGCATTTTGAAATCTTACCTATCATCATTCAAGGTGCTTCTTCCTCTCTATCTTAGATAAGCCTTTCCTGTCATCCCTTTTGAAAATTACCTTTCTCTTCTTGGATTTCACATAACACTTTGTACCTCTCATTCTTTTCTGAATTTGACAATTTTGTTGTTATTGTATATTTATATACAATTTCTCTTATGATACTGTAAGCTTCATGAGGTTACAGGGACGAGCTATTAATTATATCTACCCTAGTACTATGCACTTGGTGTATTGGGATGGAAATATTCACCATACTTTTTCAAATGGTATTCAGAAGCAATATCAATGTAACATTTTAGGGCCCGGGGTGGGGAACCTGCAGACTTGAGGCCACTCATGGCCCTCTAGGTCCTCAAGTGCAGCTCTTTGACTGATCCAAAAGGCCCACTGGATAATGTTGGAGTCAGTACAAATGACTTCAAACTTTGTTCAGACATTTACTCTCTGTGCAGTCCTGGGCAAGTCCCTTTACTTCTCAACTTCAGTTTTATCATCTGTAAAATGGGCATAATAATAGCACTTTCCTTAAAAATTGCTGAGAGTATTAAATGAGATATTTAGAAAGCATTTTAAAAACCTAAAAGTGCTATTTAAATGCTAGCTATTATTATTATAACATTCTGAAAATGTTAGTAGATAAGAGTAATTCTAGCATACCAGATCATCTAAGATACAGCACATAACCATGTAATTTCATTCCTTAGTTTAAAAATAGCTTTACAATGTAAAGGTCAAATTGGGAAGCAACAGAGTGTGGCTGGGGGTTAGGAAACCTGGATCTGTAAATAGGTAACAAGGTAACAAACCTTAGACCTCTTCTATGAGGGAGTATCCCTTTTGGCTCTAAAAACATCTAAGATTCTCTAGTTTCAATGTCATGATTGTTTGAACAGAAACACAGTACATTGTGTAGCACACGCTTTCTGTTGCTAAACAAAGTTTACAATATAAATAAATCATGTTCAGACATGAATTTTAGAACTCTTTAGAACTGATGCCAATTTTAAAATTATTTATTGGAAATGCTAGAAAGAGTTACCAAAAACAAAATAAAACAAAACAAAAAAACCACACACCTCAGTTCTCTTTTG